AAGCAAGCACCTTCAACAAGTGAGGCCTCACAGGCAACCCAAATGCCCTCAACCAGTGAGGCTTCAGCAGCTGGCAGTCAAAACTAACTTAGCTTAATGAACTGTACAGTAATTTTAAGTGTTAATTTTAGTGTTGTGTTAGTATAGGTTACGTAAATTGTTAAGAATTGTTAACTTCAAGATGTGTGGCATCAATCAAGAAGACGAACACCAACAAGGTAAGTTGAGGTTTCTAGTTGAATATTTAATAATTGTATGTGGCAAGGCAATTCAAATTATGTTGTTTGTAGTATAAAAATAGTTGGAAATGGTCACTTTTGGACTCGTAGGTGAAAAAGTACCATTATCCGAAAAATGTGATAATCCGGCTGGGGGTCCTTCCCATATAGTCCGGATGATCGAGTGGAGACAGTATACAGACGTTATATATAAGTATCTACATGTTTTGTTCACCATAACTGTACATCTAAGCTTGTATGGTGAGTAAAGGCACAAAGATGTGGCTACTCACACAGTCAGCTGATCGGCGGCCGCCCTCAAGGCCAGACGCACTAATATTTCTCCTCCAACAATACTGTGTGGTGTTATTACGCTATTACGGAGTACTGCTGCACAATGACAGCCCCTTTCAAAGCTGGAGAAATTGCTGACCTGGAGAGCGTGCAGAAATCCTTTACTGCTAGAATCCACTCAGTAAAACATCTAAATTACTGGGACCGACTAAAGAGCCTAAATCTGTACTCCCTTGAGCGCAGGCGGGAGAGATACATAATAATTTACACGTGGAAAATAATTGAGGGGCTGGTCCCAAACCTGCACACAGAAATAACATCACATGAGACCAGGAGGCATGGCAGGATGAGCAGAATACCCCCGTTGAAAAGCAGAGGTGCAACAGGTACTCTGAGAGAGAACTCTATCAACATCAGAGGCCCAAGACTGTTCAACACGCTTCCACTACACATAAGGGGCATAACTGGCCGACCCCTCACAGTGTTCAAGAGAGAACTGGATAAGCACCTCCAAAGGATACCTGATCAACCAGGCTGTGACTCATACGTCAGGCTGCGAGCAGTCGCGTCTAACAGCCTGGTTGATCAGTCCAGCAACCAGGAGGCCTGGTCGACGACCGAGCCGCGGGGACACTAAGCCCCGGAAGCACCTCAAGGTAACCTCAAGGTAAGGTATGGTGAACAAAACATGTAAATACTTATATATAACGTCTGTATATAAGATATATAGTGTAATAACACCACACAGTATTGTTGGAGGAGAAATATTAGTGCGTCTGGCCTTGAGGGCGGCAACCATCAGCTGACTGTGTGAGGTCCTACGTCTTTGTGCCTTTACTCATCATACAAGCTTAGATGTACAGTTATGGTGAACAAAACATGTAGATAGTTATATATAACGTCTGTATATAGTGAATTATAGCAAAAACAGTATTGTGGGAGGAGAATGTGGGTGAGTCAGATGACTTGAGGGAGGGCGGGATAGTGGCTGGCTGGTACACGGCGGTCACTCCTCGTTACTTTTTGACTCATAATAGCTACAGTACTTAGTGGTTCGTTATAGTGAACAAAACATGCAGATACTTATATATAACCTGTGCTTATAGTGTAATAACTGACAAAGTATTTGTTCACTGATTGATGAACATAATTGAATCAACAATATGCACACCATATTTTTGAGTACAGCGATGATTCACTCATTTTATTATATAAATATATCAAACTACACACTATTGAATAATATTACAGCAAAAAACTATGAAAAATCAATCAGAGACATTGAAATAATTAGGTAATTATTTCTTTGTGGCAACTCCGGCCTGACAGCTGGCGAGAAAAGACCGCCGCCTGGGACACGCTGAGTCAGCGCCTATTTTTTGCCGGACTTCCCCGCCCTATAGCAGGCAATATGTGCCACTTACGATTTTTTTATTATTTTTCCTGTGATCGGTGAACACAAAATAATGGTTAGGAAGAAAAAATATTTTTTTTTTTTTCAAAATTACATGCGCCTGTGGGGAAGAAAGGATATTATACCCCTAGCATGTTAAGGGTTAATGAAAAGGAAGGAATGGGCAAATGGTTGATGGCAGTGTAGTTTGAATGTTATTGTTAAGGTAGGTCGATATTCTACACAATTCACAAGTCAATTCAATTCAATTGTGAATTATGTTTAAAGCATGAACCTTCACATTTTCTGGGAGGCTTCCCTTCGGCTCCCCGGACCATCCAGGCTGATATGGATATATTAGACTTTGGCATCAATGTGAATTGAATTCTAGGTCTACCGGGGACCACGAGCCAGAACCTGGCCCCCTCAGAGAGAGACGAGGAGCAATGGTCTATAGAAACCCCCGTATGGTTGGAAGCATTCTATATCTGCCATCGACCGAGTCAGGCACCCAGAAACGTTAGCGACCCAAAACAAAACCCTATTCTGGTTAGTAAATTGCTACTGAAAGCCAAACTAGTGGAGAGAAGTCCCCAAACAAAAACGAGTAAACGAGAATTACGATACCACGCCGCAGCGTCGCTTGTCTGCGCAGCTCCCTCATGCCCGGGAGGGGGGGAAGAGGGAGCCCCAGACCCTCATGCCGGTCTACACCTCAGTTCTTCGGCTGATGTTTTGGCAATGGTCGTGTGACTCTGGCTCCAGATTTCCTGTCACCCAGCTCTGTGCCTTGTGGTGTAGGGCTGTTTCTCTGGTGGTTCGCGAGCCAGGAGTAAATTCACAAATACTCAGGCTGCATGCGCCTAGGGTCACTTTTCCTAGGTGCTCTGTAAGTACTGCCCTTGGGGCTTAGGACCACCTTCCACAAGTCACCTTGGGATCTACCTCTGCTTGGTCTTTTGGTTTTCGGTGATTGACTGCCCTTAGTGTGCTGGGGTGTTTCATGCACCCTTGTTTGTCTTTGGGTAGGGGTAGTTTGCACTGGTAGGGCTGCAGGGTACTGCACAGCTAGTTTTCACCTCTCAAAGAGCCAACTCTGTTCTGCCTGGGTACGTTGTCCTCTTGCGGGTTTTTTTCTTTTGTTTTTGTTTCCTGCCTGGTGGGGGGGGGGGGAGGTTCTACCCTTGGTTTTGGTTGCCCCTATTGTTCATGATGGTTCCCTGCTAGGCCTCTGTGAGTGGACACATCCACTCACTTTTCAGTTCAGCTTTTAGCAGTTTTCTTGGTAGACTTGGGCACCAGTTAGTAGTACTCTGCCTGGGCTTCTCTTAGCAGAATACCACGACTAAGGGCCCTGGGAAACCCCGCGGGGGGCTCTGTGGTCCAATGGATGCAATCCCTGGGTCCTTTCTCGCCATGTGCGAGTTTGAAGGTTGCTCTGTCCCTTTGTCTCAGGGTGACATTCACTGCTTCTGCCTCTGTCATGCTACCTGTTGGGTCAGTGAGGCCTTCGACCCAGAGTCCTGCAAGTTTTGTTGCTTATTTGTGACTCAGTTCACCCAGTCCATTGATGACTCTGTTGGGTGCAGGCAGCTCAGGTATTCCATGCTAGGTTTATGTTGCTGCAACGTGCTAGGTTGGTTGGTGGCCCGGAAGCCCCGAGGCTGCCCTGCTTTGGTTATAGGGACCCAAACTTGGTGTTGGTCTCTTCGACCTTGGTTCAGTCCATGCCCTTTCGTCCTTCCCCGGCTGTGGTTCATTCTGGTCCTTCTCCCCTGCTTCCAGCTCCGAAGCGTCTGAGGGTTTCGGAGTCGGGGCAGGGTTTAGTTGGGTTGGTGACTCAGGCCAGTGGTGCCAGTTTCGGGGCTGGCTGAGCCTTTGGTACTGTCTTCGTCTGGTTGGCGTGGTGATCACTCTATGCGACGGTTGGGTTCTTGTCTGGGGCGTTGGCCCTTTTGCGATTCGTCCCATTGACGGGGAGATGGGGGGGGGGGGATTGAGGCTTGCTCTCTTTGCTCGTGCCTGGTCCCATGGTTTGTGGGTCTTTCGGGTCGTTTCAAGGGGCCTGCAGTGGTGTTGGGTGGCTCCTCCTCATTCGGGGGTTCAGTGCTGGCGGGGCGGGCCTCTTCTCCTGCACTCTGTCGGATCTTTTCGGAGTGGGTGCAATTGGGCGTGAACAACACGACAACGTCTCAGGTAGGTTCCCGTCTGTTTCCAGTCCCGCAACGGGACTGTGCAGACCTGTGGTTCATTCTGGACTTGTCCCGTCTGAACCCCCTGGGTCTTTTGCCCCTCCTTTCGGATGACTCTGTCCCAGGTCTGGCTTCTTTTAGCACCAGGCACCTGGATGGTGCCCCAGGACCTCTGGGACTCTTCTTGGCATGTCCTGATTCATCCGGGGTTCAGGGACTGGCTCGTGTTTTCACACGCCTTACCTGGGTCGTGGTAGCCCATTTGCCACCTCCTCCTTAGAGGTTCTGGTTCTGGCCTATCTCGACGACTGGCTGGTGTGGGCTCCCAGCCAGTCCGCATGTCTGCTTGCCATGGATTTGGTTCTTTCCCAGCTCGCAGGGTTCAGGTTCCTGGTGTACTGGAGGATGTCCCATCTGGTTTCCTCTCAGGTTCGGTCTTGGTCTTGTGTGGGACTCTCTGACCGCTTCCTTGTCTCTTCCTCCGAAGTCTCTGCTTCGGCTGCAGTCCCACCTTCGCCTGTTTTTAGGGGTCTCCCAGGTCACCTGGCAGTTGCTTGAGGGTTTGTGTGGGAGCCTGAGCTTTGCCGTGATGGTCTACCTGTAGGGTTGGGTTTGGCTTCATCGGTTGTTCTGGTTCCTTCAGATTCTGGCTTGTGGTCCCCGGTAGGCCTAGAACTCCATTCACATTGATTGATCCCAAAGTCTAATATAACCATTATCAGCCTGGATAGCTCTGGAGAGCCTCGGGGTCTTGGCCAGAAAATGGCATTTCATTATATTCAACGCTGGTTTTTTGTTGACCAACAAAATCTAACATATAGCAATATAAAACATAATTGAGCAGCAGTTAGCATGAAGCTTAGCGGTGGTAAATTATATTAACTAATGGTGGATGTTGGGTAGGTGGCGTAGCAGCAGAGGCGCAACATCGCGATCACCTAGAGAGACATCCATATAAACGGTTCAATGAAAATGAAATCGAAGAGTCAAAAGAAATGCTCAAGATGGAAATGAATGTTGTTAAGCAAGGAATGGGCCACGGTGATCTTACGCTGGATGCTTACTCTCAGGTATGATTGTTATCTAGTTGCTTCTACTCTTCATACATGGGAAATCTGTCAGACATGGATATTTTTATTTAATGTACTTTATATTTTATTTATATATGGTGCTTTTCCATAAATTGTAAGGTCCTCTTAGCTGTAAATTTTGGTGCAAATGCTGTGGGTTATTGCATATACTGTACTTGTTATCCTTGTATGTAATTGCAACCAGGTAGTGATAAAATAATAATACTTTAATATTTTATTTAGAAAATATTCAAGGAATTAGTTTGCAGTGATTATTTAATAGCTAGATTCTATATTTGTATATTTTCTGTGGGGAGCCCAGGAGGCTTCCTGAAGTTATCCAGACTAATATATGTACTATATTAGTTTGGGGGACATCAGTTATGGGAGTTCTGCCCGCCGAGGATCACGAGCCAAAACCTGGCCTCCCCTCAGAGATGTGCAGTGAGCAATGGCCATATGAGCACTCTACATTTAGAGTATGTCATGTCTGCCATCGACTGGGGAGGGCACCCAGAAAGGTAGGCGTAACAACACGACCCTCCAACTGGTGAAAATTGCAACCTACATCCAAACAGCCAAAGAACTCCCCCCAAAAGAAAGCAAATCATCATCCAACTAGCATGCCTGCTCGTTAGTGCTCCCCCCTCCCCTTTCCCACAACAGGGGGGAGGGGGAGCTCGCTGAGGCGGGCTGGCAGCTCCGCCCATCAGTTCAAAGACGGATGTGCATAGGGAGCACACACTACCTCTGGCCTCGCTTTCTTGTCTGAATTTTGCTTGTGTGGCTGTGCCAGCTGCGTGGGGTGGCCACATATGGCCACGTGTTCTTCTGTACGCAGGGCAGCATGCTTTTAGGCTCGCTTCTTTAGACGCCCTGTAAGCATAACCCTTGCATGTTCAGCGTTCTCTTTCCTTGGGCATTCAGGACTCGCTTCCATTGGGGTCTCTGTCGCTTGGCGTTGGCCTCGCCCTTAGGGTTGGATGGGGGACGTGGGGAATTCCATCTAGCACTGGGTAGGGAGTGAATGTTGCTGGGTGGGAAGCCTGTCTCGACTTCGAGTCGAGATGTGAGCACTGACCACCTCCCGGGTAAGTCCCCTTTCTTTTTCGTCTTAGGTGAAGTAGCTCCAGGGAGCCATAGGGGCTCCCCCAGAAAACCAGCGTTGAATGTAATGAAACGCTATTTTCTGGGTGAGTCCCTGAGGCTCCCCAGCAACCCTTCCTACCTCTGGTTGGCAGTTTTTGCATTTTTGATATCCAGCCTCTGAACTGGGGTATGGATTGCCGGCGCGGGGGTCTGGGGCTCCCCCTTCCTCTTGGAGATGGGGGGGCGCTGCGTAGACATGCGGCACAGCTTGTGTGACATCATGCTTGTTTGCTTGTTTTCATTTGGAGAGTTTTGTCCACTCGTTTGTCTATTTTCATCGTTTTAACCAGAATCGGGGATTGTTTTGGGGCGCTTACCTTTCTGGGTGCCTGTTCCGGTCGATAGCAGATATAGAATGCTCTAAAATCACATGTGCATTTCTATAGGCTCCTTGTGCCTCTCTGAGGGGGCCAGGTTCTGGCTTGTGGTCCCTGGTAGGCCTAGAACTCCACCCACATCGACTGATGCCAAAGTTAAGGATATTCATATCAGCCTGGATAGCTCCGGGAAGCCTCCGGGACTCACCCAGAAAATGACGTTTCATTGCATTCAATGCTGGTTTTTTGTGTGAAGATCTTGGGGGTCAGACAGCAGCTCTGTTGCATGCTAGGTATTCTTTGTTGTCTAGAGCCTGGTTGGTTGCCCGATTGGAAGCCCCAGAGCTGCCCTGCTTGGGCTTCAGAGACCAGGATTTGGGGGCCTTAGTTGCATCGACTTTAGTTTTGTCTGCGTCCCTACTTCCTTCCCAGGTGGGCATGGTTCGCCCCGTTCCTTCTTCCCTGCTTCTGGCTCCCTAACGTCTTGAGGGTTTCGGGGTTGGGGCGGGGTTTAGCTCAGAATGAGAGATTGGTGGCTTCAAGGAATGCCCCTTCTGATTCAGGTATGGAGGTGGTCAAGCCCGATTATCCTGCCGAGGCTTCTGAGTCAACCCAGCAGACTCTCGTCTTTGAAGCTTTTCCCATGGATGCTGCTTTTTCTTCAGGGGTGGTGAGTTTGGATAAAGGCTCTGCCCCTGGGCCTCTGTCTGGGGTTCCTGTGGCTTTGGGGGGAGCCCGCGAGGAGCGCTTTGCCTTCTGGGCTGGGGTTTTGCAGTGGGGGAGGGTTTTTTTTGTCCCCTTCTTCCCTTCTGCTTTGGTTTTTACCACATTTGCGGGCATGATTTAAGCACCCTTGCATCGGGCGCGTCCATTTTTGGCTTTGATGTTTGTTTTGGCATACAATTTACTTTACTGGGGGGCGCTTCCACGCCTGGCGTGGAAGCGCCCCCCAGCACCCCCCCCTCCCCACGTGTTTTGGAGGGGAAGGTCCCCCCCCCCCCCCCGCACATTTTAGGGGAAGACCCCCCCATGCACATTTTGGGGGACGCACTCACCCCCCTTCCCTGCGTGTGGAAGTGCAGGCATTTTCTGCGCGCTTTGTTTACATGTGGCAGCTGGGTCTTTGCATTTGCTTTTTGGGGGGCGTTTTTTGCTTCTGTCTTATGTTCTTGTTCTTCCCAGTGACATACCTCTAGTTTGGGTTATGTTTACTCTGTTCGGGGCATGGAGGTACATGGTTTGCTCTGAGGTCCTGCATGCCTGCTGGTGTGTTTTGGGTTGTTATGGTGAGATTGTGCTTCTCTCGCTGTGCTCCTCTTGTTGTACTTTGGCTCTTTTGGCCTGCCTCTTCCCTGTGTTTTTTCCTGGGGTTAACGTTTTTGCGCTCCTGCGGTTCTCCGTTTGTTGCCTTCACCTCAGCTCTGCCTCCTGCATTCCCTTTCCTTCTTCCTCTGCCTCTGGGCGAGTTCTTTTTCTTGTTTCTGGCTCTTTTCGGTACTCTGTTTTCCCCAGTGTCCCTTTCTTGGTGTTCTGCTCGTCTTGAGTCGTCCATCTTTCTGGGGGGAGCCCCTTCGGCTCCCCGGAGCTGATATGCTAATGTCAGATTTTGCCATCAGTCACGTGTATAGAGTTCTGTGGGTCTGCTGGGGACCACGAGCCAGAACCTGGCCCTCTCAGAGAGTCATGGGGAGCAATGGCCTATAGAAACCCCCGTGTGGTTGGAAGCATTCTATGTCTGCCATCGACCGGGTCAGGCACCCAGAAAGGTAAGCGTCCCGAAACAAACCCCTATTCTGGTGAAAATTGCTACCAAAAGCCGAACAAGTGGATAGAACTCTCCAAAAAGAAACGAGCAAACGAGCATGACGTCACACGTCGCAGCGCCGCTGTCTGCGCAGCTCCCCCCACCCCGGGAGGGGGAAGGGGGAGCCCCAGACCCCCGCCCAGCTATCCACCCTTCAGTTCTGAGGCTGATGCTATAGGCAACGGTCGTGTGCTCCGGCTCCAGTAGATGTTTCAGCACTGTACCTAGAGTGTGGTGACTGTCTTCAGTCAAAATTGGTTCTGTTCCGGGTTCAATCTTGCCTGGGCCTCGTGTGGGATTCTCGGCCAGCGTCCTCTCTCCCTCCTGCGCCATTGCTTTGGCTGTAGTCTCACTTTCCGCTGTTTTTGCGGGGGACCTGGGTCAAACGGCGATTGCTCAAGCAGTTGTGTGGGAGCCTGGACTTTGCCTTGTTGGTTTTCTCACTGGGCAGGGTTTGGCTTTGGTGGCTGTTCTGGTGCCTTTGGGGCAGCTTTCGCAATCCCTGGGTTCGACCCAGGGGTCTTTGTGTTGATTGCTGCGTCTCGGGCTTTCTCTTGGGTTTTTTCGGGGTTCAGTGCCATGGTACTTTCCTTTGTCCTCGCCCGATGTGTTCATGGAGGCGGAGCGTTTGCGGAGCCGCTCCAACTTTCGTTCGGGGTAGTTGTCAATTCTGTTCCATTCTGTAAGCATTCTCGTGCATTTTTCACCTCCCTGCTCATATGCCGCCTGAGACTTCTTGGTCTTTGGACCGGATGTTCTCATTTCTCTCCTCTCCTCTCCTCAGTTTGTAGTGGCCCCCCTCAGTCTTTGATTGTTTTATGAATTATTTGTTTTTGTTGGCTTTAGCCTTTGGGAGTCAGGTTGGAGAGATTCATGCTCTTCTTTGGTGCAGAGGGTTTTGCTCCTTTGGTCCTGTGGGTCATTTGCTGCCCTCTCCTTCTTTTCTGGGGAAGAATGAGACGGTGGGCTTCCGGAGGCGTGCCATGATGTGAGGCAATATGCTGCTCTCTCTGCTGTATTTGGGATTATGTCTTGTGTTGATATTCGGGCACGGGAGTTTTGGGAGTCAAACAGGGTCCTGGCCGCCCATTATCTTGTCAGTGTTCCGGGCCCTCTGCGACCGTGTGTTACTTTGGGACGTCTGTCGTGGCCTATTGTCGCTTCTTTGTCTTGAGACGTGCAGTACAGTGCCTCTCCGGTAAGTCGTTGTTTTTACTTCTCTGTGGATAGATAACTTCAGGGAGCTGGCGGGGCTCCCCACAGAAAACCAGCGTTGAATGTAATGAAACGCCATTTTCTGGGCAATCCCTGGAGGCTCCCTGACATCCCTCCCTATCTCCGGTCAGCGTTTTTTTTATCATTCTATGAACTGGCAGGAGCTGCTGGCTCACCTGAGCGTGCTTCCCCTCCCACCTGTCAGGGAAAGGGGAGCTTACTTGCAGAGTAAGAGAGTCCACTAACGAGCGGGTGCTTTAGTTTGATGTCGATATGCTTGTTTATTTGTTATCCTTTGGGGGTAGTTCTTTGGCTCTGTTCGGATATAGGTTGCAGTTTACACCAGTTGGAGGCTTGTATTGTTACGCCTACCTTTCTGGGGAAATACCTCGGTCGATGGTAGAAATGACATACTCCAAATGTAGAGTGTTCATATAGCCATTGCTCCCTGCACCCCTCTGATGGGGGGCCAGGTTATGGCTTGTGGTCCCCAGTAGGCAGAACTCCCCATAACT